CTGTGTGATTGATTCATGTCTCTATTGAATCCTTGTTCTTCAGTTTTCACCTGACTCTCTGTTTCTTGTTTTGGATAAAGTTTTGAGCTTTTGTGTGATCTCTCTCTCTCTCTTTGGGGAAGAAAAAGGCTGAAATTTGGGGTGTCTTTTAATTAGGGTATTGAATGTTTGATGTTTCTTCTTATTTGGTGAGATCAAGAGTTTGTTTATAGAGGTTCTTAGGAGTGATCAAAATCCCATCAGATACAGAGGATCCGTCGCATAGATCCATCAGATCTGTTCAGAGGTACGCAGGTTCTTCTTGATTTTACTCTTCTGTGGCTAAGTTAGTGTGAATAAATCGGCGGTTTTGGGTCGCTGTTGTAAGCTGAATTGGGTCTTGTATCACTAAAGACCATTGGACCAATGGCTTAAAGAAGAAGACGCTGAAGATGAAGATTAATGAATTGTTTTGCTCGATTTGTAGTCGTTAAGGTTTGGAAAGCAGCATAGGAACAAACTCATGGAAGAGATTTCACCAGCAGTTGCACTGACTTTGAGTATAGCCAACACGATGTGTGACGCAGGAATCTCATCGAATTTAGAGTTTTCCGAGCTGGAGAATGTTACTGATGTAGTTGACATGTTTTGTGATCAGAAAAACCAAAGTTATAGTAATGGAGAAGTTGATTATATGATGGAAGATGTTTCAGAAGAGAAAACTTTATCTGAATCGAGAAGCCTGTCTTCGAATATTGATTTAGCTGTCCAAGAATCAGAAGAAGATGAGGTAATGGTATCTGATGCGACTATTATAAGCGAAGGTTTGATAGTTGTAAACGCTAGGTCTGAGATAAGTTTGCCGGATTCAGTTGAAATAGATAGCGGGCGAGTTCTTGCTACGGCAATTATCTTAAACGAGACAACCATAGATCAGATTCCCACAGCAGAAGTCCTTATTACAAGTCTGAATCATGATGTGAATACGGAGGTGACAGCTTCAGAGGTAGTCATTAGGTTGCCTGAAGAAAATCTTAATGTAGCAAGAGGAGGCAGGAGTGTCTATGAGCTAGAATGTATACCTCTTTGGGGCACGGTTTCAATTTGCGGTGGAAGATCTGAAATGGAGGATGCTGTTAGAGCTTTACCTCATTTTCTGAAAATACCCATTAAAATGCTTATGGGGGATCATGAAGGGATGAGTCCAAGCCTCACACACCTCACTAGTCACTTCTTCGGTGTATATGATGGCCACGGAGGCGCTCAGGTATGCTGTGATTCACAAAAATTTTGATTGATTTTAGCAATAGAGGGAGCCAACTATGAACCGGGGGATTTTTTTGAATTTATGTTTTGTTGCCATAGGTTGTATGTATATATGATACGGGTTTTGCTCGAAACGGGATTCTTTGCAGGTTGTTATGTAATATATGATGGCTTTGGTGGAAATGGGATTCTTGCAGGTTGCTGACTATTGTCATGATAGAATTCATATTGCTTTGGCTGAAGAAATCGAATGGATTAAAGAGGAATTGTGCAAGAGGAACACTGGCGAAGGTAGGGAGGTCCAGTGGGAGAAAGTCTTTGTTGATTGTTACCTAAAGGTCGATAAGGAAGTTAAAGGGAAGATCAGAAGACCTGTTGTTGGTTCCCCTGATAGGATGGTTCTTGAAGCTGTTTCCCCTGAAACCGTCGGATCAACTGCTGTAGTTGCCTTGGTTTGCTCGTCACATATAATAGTTTCCAACTGTGGTGATTCGAGAGCAGTTTTACTCCGCGGCAAAGAAGCCATGCCTCTATCAGTTGATCACAAAGTAAAGACTCCTGTTTTTTCCTGAATAGGGTTTTACCACAATCTGAAAAAGTTTCTTACTTCTCATTCATACAGAGTTAATGAGATTTCTTACTCTCTTTTTGCAGCCAGATAGAGAGGATGAGTATGCAAGAATTGAGAGAGCTGGAGGAAAAGTTATACAATGGCAAGGTGCTCGTGTTTCTGGCGTTCTCGCTATGTCCAGGTCCATAGGTAGGTCAAAATAAAAATAGCACTTTTTCTTCATCACTGACGGAAATCTTAAGAGAGTTTCTCTAGGTCGAATTTGGTGATAAATCGAACATTCAAGATGAGGATCACTACGACATGTTACAGTCTCTGCAAATTATTAGATCTCCTCAAGTGGGTTTCCTCTACATCTTTTTCAGGTGACGAATATCTGGAGCCATTTGTAATACCAGATCCTGAAGTGATGTTTATGCCACGAGCAAGAGAAGACGAGTGTCTTATATTGGCCAGTGATGGACTCTGGGACGTAATGAGTAACCAAGAAGCTTGTGATTTTGCAAGGAAACGGATCTTGGCGTGGCACAAGAAGTATGGAGCCTTGCCTTTAGCTGAGAGAGGTGCAGGGGAAGACCCCGCGTCCCAAGCCGCAGCTGATTATCTGTCCAAGCTGGCTCTTCAAAAGGGAAGCAAAGACAATGTCTCGATCATAGTGATCGACTTGAAAGCTCAAAGAAAGTTCAAGACCAGATCTTGAAACAGTGTACACTCGACCTCTTACTC